CTTCGAAGATCTAATTAAGCAATATTCTATTTTAATTAGGACCCAATCAGCTTGTCACAACTGTATATCCCTTTAATCCTTATCCTCACTGTATATCTGGCTTAACTACCCGTGTGCCAATTGTTATTCGTACTGTTCATAAGTCTTCTTTCAATCATGTGCTTGTGATCTATCACCGTTGTTGTCTATGTTAATCTGCTGCTTATCACAACATATCATGCATATATACCTCCCATCACATGGTTGGTGTCACTCCAGCTTGATAACGGTGTAAGAATGTACATCAAAACGTCGCTATATGCAGTAAACCAGAAGTTGTTATCCATAAAGAGTACGCTTTTCTTATTGAACATTAACATGAACGGTTTGATGTTTTAATTACAGTCGTGCCCCGCTTATACGGACTTCAGATATCCGGAAACCTCGGTTCCCGGACGATTTTCATTCAAAACGAAATAATTACTATACACTGTGTATACTTTCCAATAATATAATACCTTCTCTGTACCCCATATACGTCATGTCTCACCACGACGAGGCATTTTATGGATCGGGTGGTCAAGTTGGGTGACTTCCGTGTCGTGTACCCAGACGGCGTGGTTCGATGCTCATAATATCAATCACTAAATTTATTTACAGACCGACGCCATATTACTGGAGTATGGCTTTAAACAACACCGATCACCGTTTTACACGGCCACTGAGCTCGCTGTCTGAGTGGTACGTCTGATTTTTCTCCGAATTGAGCTGTGTTGACTAGAACATGTTATATAACAACGGATCATGGACTGGATAACAGAATATATAATAACTAAATGGATTTCAAATTGTATTGGCGCAGACCGAGCATAATCAATGTCACGAAGGAAAATGTATAATAAATAATTCAGAAGAGGTATTCCAATAGCATATTATCTCAGACACACACATCTCACAATGACACAGGCCTATCTCAGACGTTTACCACTTCGGTGAAACCCACGAGCACGGGTATGGTATTGACAAACCTAGAAACATAATGGGGATTCGAACCCACAAATAGGTTTCTGGCGTGCCTAAGGGACGCAACTCTGCATAGCGAATCACGACGCCTTAGACGACTGGGCCACCCGTGCCACCTGTGAATAATGAATAGAGGATATCTACGACAATCGCCACAAACCATTGCGTTAGATGTGTTGATTGTTAAACCAAGAAATCTTTAAAATGCACTCAAGGGAACCTTTTTGATATCATTGAAGTGTTGTAATCCCCATATTTCAGCACCGTACATTAAGATTGGGTTCATTTTAAATTAGAAATTCTAAAAGAATGACTTGTAACTTATATCTCCAAGAATGTTTATATGATTCATTATACCAAATAAAACTCTCTTGGCCTGGGTTGATATTTCTCTTGCATGACTGTGAAGACCAATTCAGATTGTTACTGACATAAACACCCAAAGATTTATAGTGTGTAGTTACATCCAAAGTTTCAGTTTTAAAGGACTATTTTCTTCTTTTTTGGTACGTTTACGGCTATTTTTTAACACAATCATGCTAGTTTTGACACTATAAGCAGCGAGTTTCCATTTTCCACAGTCATTTTCCAATACATATTTTTGCTTTTGCAAGTCAACAACTGTGCTTGAGAACACAGGTACCACAGATCCCTACTTCTCGTAATGACACGACTACGCCGGTGTCAAAAACGTTGTTAACACAAAGCAGTGATTATCGTATGTAAGTGTTGGTATTGATTCATGAAGACGGAATATGGTGATACAACTGTATCTATTTATAACTAATAATTACCCACGCTAAACTTTACCAGGGAACTATAGGTAGCGTGTCTCCTTACTTACCGCGTATGGTAAAGAACGCAGTTGATTTGAATTCTGTATATGGGGGGGGGGGGTGGGGGGGGGGGGGGTAATGTCGTGGTGTGGGGCGGCATCAGTCATAACCATCGAACAGAGCTCCATGTTTGTCATGGAAGAGTTAATGCCCCTTACTACAGGAATAACATTGGCAAAGCACGTCTTCCCATTCTTTCATCAGCACCAGGATATGCACACCTTCCAGAAAGATAATGCAAGAGTGCCCACAGTACCTAGCGAACAATAATGTGCCTCTGCTTCCATGGCCAGCCCTCTCACCCGATCTATCGCCAATTGAACATCTGTGGGATTACCTGGGTCAACGCCTCTCACGTCGTCCGCAAGTACAGAACCTGAGAGAACTGGAAGATACACTACGTCAAGAGTGGAATGCCCCAGAACACTATTCGCAGACTAATTCGATCAATGAGAAGACGTTGCATGGCCTGTGTTGCTGTCAATGGCGGACATACCAGATATTGACTTTTCATTTTAACCCTATGTGTCTTCCTTACACTGAAGACGTAATCGTAATTACTGTGTGGTATTCCTGTTTCCTTTGTCGTCTTTCTTAATAATCCGTCTATGTCTGTTCTAATCAAAATCGGTCATTGCTCAAGTTGTTTTTGTAATATTTCAAGATTTATTGCTGGTGCGTTTTCAATGCTGTTCAGTATATTGACGTTACTTTCAAGATAATGAAAGGACTTGGTCGCGCTTGTCCCAGGGGTCATGACATCACACTGGCATTACGACAATCATAAACACTACAGGCCATGTTCATGATCATAAGTCGGGTGTATTTAAAAGCCACGTTGACAGTTTCTTCAGTGATCCGTTCTCATTATTCTCACCACTATATTGACTTTTCAGCATAGTGGATTCTATTTCGGCGGATAGCATTGTGTGCTGTATAAAGTCGACCTTAATGCTGGTCCACCATTTTCCGGTCTAAGTAACTGCAGGTACTGCTGACAGATATGCTTCACATTTATGATGTGGTAGGTCTTTCTATTCAAAACTCTTTAGAATCTATGATAAAGATACTAATATGAATCTACACGCGATATCAACAATAGATCAACCATAACTAACTTGCAGCATCTAATACATTGGAATTGCAAAGGTATTATTATGATAATTATAATGACTATTTACCAATCATAAGCCATCAGCATTTTGTCTTAAAAATACATATAAAATATATAGATTCGGATTCAAAGTTTGAAATCAACACTGCTGCATGGGAACACAAGGCATCTCCAAACCCAAAGCAATACCTTCAACAAGAAATGTCCTTATTATTGTGTCAGTTTCTTAATGATAGATCCATTAATGTTTTCATTATGAAATATTAACCAAAGATGATTTCAGTTGTCCTTTCATTTTAAAAAAAAAAAAATTATATCTGAGTAAACAATACACTTGTATTACCTTCATAATTTTTTTTGCCATGGTGCCATTATATGTTACAATAAATTATCTGAAGGTTTAGCTTGACAATTGAAAGAGGCATATGTCAGTTGCCGCCATCATATACCTGTTAGAAGATATTATTCACTTTCTTTAAGATGTTTTCATAAACATGTCTTAATGATGTTTCTCTTCACTAAATGTATACAGAAAGAAAATGTAGTGTCACACATGCAGAGAATTGCTGCAAGAGATGCGCCGTGAGTTTTGTTAGCAGATAACTTGGAATGACTTTCAATCCAGATATAGCAATAACTGGGTTTTTATTCCAGTTGCTTTCCCATAGTGTTTGATTTACTGCTAACCTGTATTTGTGGGTTTCACCAAAACAAAACAAACTAAAACAATGGATTATTGAAGTACCATTAAAACACGATTAACTTATTGCAATCCTGAATGGACTCTAGGTTAGAACTAGTCCCTAGCAACCTATGCTTGACTTTATGGATGCTGGCCTATGTTGACATTGGATTGATCTAGACTTGCCCATTATGAGTATAGAATTAATTTACGTCCATGGACTTTTCTTTCAGTACATCCTTGGAGCAAGGCAAGAAGCCTGTATACAATACTTCGCATGCATACCAAAAATGCAAAACTCAATTCCAGCTTATTGATTAAAAAACATAATACTTTATCTGACCCTAACATGAACACCAAAACATAAACACTAGTTCCAACTGGGAAGACCTGCAAACAAAACTAAAACGAATTCAATTTATTTGTTATGGATTTACAAAACTTATATTGATCAATCATCTTGTGTGTGGGTGACACATAACTTTCTCTTCCTCTTTCATATGAGCATTACTGGCCTGGATTAGAATTTGAAATTTTGAATTTAATGTTGTACTGGATAATTTTTGAGAAAGTTATTGTGTCCATATTTACCCCATCTAAACACACCACAACAGAAAATGTTGAAGGAAACGGGCAGTGCATGACAAGTAGTTGATATGGATATGGATATATACGTTCCTATACGGGAGTTATGACATACTGCTAACGAGAAGGAATATTTCCTATTTTGATGCCCAATTCCCAGTATTTATTTTCCATGACACAATGGCAAAGTGGAAGGTGATACTGAGAATAAAATTCCTTAAAATACCACACTTGCTTACAAAATACACGAACGTTTTACAAACATTTTTAGATCATTTTTATTTTGTTATTGCATACATAAGCCACGCCCACTCATGAATATTGTGGACTTAAGACCATTGTAGGTTTAAGGGCACAACACACGTTCCTATAATTCAACCATCTGGATGAAATTAATTGTTTTCGTTTAGGAAACCATCAAGTGAGCAATCCACTGCTAAAACTTGATTTATCCCCCTCGCTAACCCCATCCCCACCCCCCACCCCCCACCCAACCCACCCCCCTCGCTACTTCCAACTTGTGTGCGACAGGTGTGGACGATGTTACAACACGTCAATGACACAAAAAAGCGACTAAATATATTTGTTGGTACATTCAAACTGACCATGTTGTAAATGTTAAACTGATTGAAGGTTTTCTAGGATATGTTAAACATCAGATTTCATTACAATTCCTCTGACTGATATGTGCTCACGGTGTCTTTTGTTTGACCTGCATTACACAGTAATAACACCCATTGTACAAGGAAGTGCAGATATTTGTCCAATGATAAGCTGATACTGCACACGTGGTCAGGATTCGTCTCCAGTATAGTCGCTCGACTGAATGTCTGGAGTTGAAGGTAGGTAGTTTGTGATTATTACAAGCGACAAGTCTGATGTCAGCATAATCCGCGTTGATATGTAGAGGATACATACATATTTGTCTCATTTAATGATCTGAGAGAGGTTATTGTGGGATACGTTTGACAAGCCGTTGCCACAATATGACACATCAAACTTCGGAATCCGCCATTGTGTTATTATAGTCACCTACTGAGTATTCTGCATTTACACAAAGGACTGCCTGATTATTATAAACGAGTCCATCCAGGACAATGATGATACAGAGAACCGAGTCTCCTCTGATAATATCATAATTTTGTGTCACTTGTTGGTATTAAATAGGCTGGAACAGTCTCAATTTATTAAATCACCTGACTGAAAATCATCTGAGTTTATCCGTTTGTCCAGTGATGCTGAATCTTCATTGATCCACTGAATTCAATTCATTGATTCAATTTGACCGCCATGGCAATCATATTAATAAATCTATGTATGACCACTATTCAGCCATTACTTGCCTTCAAAATGGAAAGTTGAACATGTATTCTTAACATATATTCTTCGTGTTCTGCAATATTTAAAAATTTAGCATTGATTTGACATTTCACTTGACCACACTGAAAACAGAAACTTGATATGGCCATAGCTCAGCTATTTCTGCTCAATCCGTGAAGATTTCCAAATTTGACGCATCAGTGACAAAAATGATATCCGATACAATTCCATATTTCGAGTTGTGACATATATTCCCGTGTTTCAGGTGAACAATTACTTTTTCTTTGCATCTGTTTACGATGGGTGCTAGTGGTTGGGCAAGATACAATGTACGCTCACCTTTTCATGAAAACCTGATATCATCACTATTTGAAAGTGATTCATTAACACATGCTTATGACATGGTGGGAATCGTACAATGGACTCTGCTTTAGGTAGAGATATCTTCAGGTTATGGAAATGTTTTTTGTCGCCTTTTATTTAAGAAATTAGCAGAACCTTTTGACATCGTTCTGAAAGATGCTTTTAAATGAAATAGACAATGCTCATTTTAACACCTGCATGTATTTCGGACTATACTATGACAAACTAAATATATAAATAATTCTAAACGTGTCTGAAAAGGCTTTTTGGAAAGGCTTAACATTTGAACTTTAGCAAGTCAGTAGCTTAACGTTTCCAACTGTACAGTAAACTACGGTTATAACGAACTCGATGGGACCACTTATATTAGTTCGTAATAACCGTAGTTCCTTATGAGCAGACATACAGCATATATACAACAACTGGTCGGGACTAAAATATAAGTTCGTTGTATCGGTCAGTTCATTATAAGTGTGTTCGTTATAAACGTAGATTACTGTATTTGGATTACTTGCTTAGTAATTATCATTTGATTTCCATTTCCCTTTTATTCCTTAAGATAAACACCTGTACCTAAAATACAGAAAGCTGGACACTGGAACATGCTTCGAGTATTTATGTTCATGGTATTCCTGAAGTAATTACTATGTTTCAGTTCCGTCAGTATTGACTCAATATCTGTAAATGTAAGTATTTGCGTTCAAAGTAACTGCCCATGTACGGAAGTTCATGAAATCAGTAGTTCACCTCCTCCGATATATTATTTCAATTTTAACTGATTCAATAACTGATTGCAGAATAGTTCGGATACAAAATTAGATACAATCCTATTCAAAGGTAACCCCTACATTCGTTTATCGACAATACGGATATCACCCTAGCGATAATGGTATGTTCTTAGAATTTGTCAATCGATTCAGACACAAAGTACACAATGCAGTGTTCCCTTCGGTTTCAACGTGACCTCAAATGTTTGATAAGCCACAGACCTGTACAAACATTACAAGCCTTTTGCTGGGCGTTCTGGTTAAAGCGTTAAAACGGGGTGTTCTCACTTTGCCAGCAGCTATTGTTCTAGTTTAAAGATCAGTAGCCCGTGATAATCCCTACAACAATGTTTAGACTGTTTCACTTTCACTGACTAACTAATGCCAGACTACAGCCTGTCTAGGAAGATATAACACAAAAATGTTTGTAGTAGTATAGGTTTTTATTTATTATTAATTAAAAATTGCATTTATGTACACATGTACACATTTTCAGGACAATATAATACAGTAGTATTCATTATTAATTCAAAATTCCATTTATGTTCAGATGTGCAAATTTTCAAGACAATCTAATACAGTATAACTTGCAAAATTTATGTTTGGCTACAGCAAAATCACTTAGAGTCTGATAAGGTGAGATACAGTATCACCATACTCGATGTGAGATTTAAAACGTAGCTTGCCATGATTCCCAGGGTTTTCCAGAGTCCAACAGCCGGAATAACGCTAATTGTGACGCAAACCTCGACTTAATCACTCTGTCTAACCTGTATTGTATTGTCTTGAACGCACATACAATTCACAGGTAAAATTATTAAACGCGTCACTGGCTATTAGAAGCTGAGTGAAAGTTGCTTCATGTACCCCTCTTCACTTTACTTTAGAATATTGTCACATGTACAGATTGGGGTCTTGATAATAATTTCCATTCCTTCAAATGTCTATTGACTCTTTGCTCTGGCTACAACACCGAGTTGTGTGCAGCTTTTACAAGTGATGAGATAATTCAGATAGTCAGATTACCCAATGATAACACTGACAACGAATAACTGCTCATTATCGATCGTAACTGTATCAACACCAGTCACCTGTTTGAATCACGGGGTGGAATAGGTCCAAAGATCCCCATGCTTCTTGTACTAGTCGACAGATGAGGTACAGGTGGTTACAACGTGTGACCAGTCTGAACCTGGATAGTATACAGGCGAATGTGGTGCGACTGAAATGTTGCCACCTGCGCCCTAAAACATACTAAATTCAATTAGACTACATTATGAACTTAGGCAGATCTATCTACCACTATGTCGTTTTATAAACAGTGTAACTGTCACTGCAAACACGAAAACGTCGTTTTTTTTCGTATATGGTCATTGGACGGAAAAACGACTAAAAATTCATTAAAATTGATTAATTGGTGAGCGTCTAGAAAGTGTCCAGAAAAGGGTCGAGTTTTTCAAGCATAAAATGGACGGAAAAACGATGCTTTTTGCTCCGCCTCGTACAACTGATAACGGCCAATCAGATGGCGCTGGTCTCCCGACGCACGTGATTCCTAAGGCATCCTTTCGAAAGCTTTAGGTTTCGTATTTCTGGCATGCCTTGCTCTAGTATCTGTCGCGCGCAGTGCAGCGAGATTTGCTGATAAGCCAGTTTTAGGATATGTAACATGTTAATGGAATTCAGGCACGCGCCAAGAAGTCAAACCAAACAATGTTACCAAGTTTATTGTGGTAACATATCACTCGGCTATGAACAGTTACCCCTATCGGATAATGGGTTGTGTTTAATTTGGTTATAATAATAACTAATTTTTTAATGTGAAGTTATACGGCTAGGACGAGAGGTCGATCACATGACGTTCTTCACGTGACTGTATTCTTGAAATGGCGTAAACACTGACTAATTCGACATACAGAAGCGTGGTTGCACGCCCGTTTAAGGATACCCTCGCTTTGTTTTTTCTCTGGGATAGGTTGTAGCGAGGGTATCCTTAAACGGGCGTGCAACCACGCTTCTGTATGAATTCGTATTTGGGAATTCCAAGGGTTTTCCCCAGGAATGTAGAAGTAGCCATTTCAAGAATACAGTCACGTGAAGAACGTCATGTGACCGACCTCTCGTCCTAGCCGTATATCTTGTAAACTTCACATTAAAAAATTAGTTATTATTATAACCAAATGAAACACAACCCATTATCCGACTACTTACAGAATCGTGGTTGCACGCCCGTTTAAGGATACCCTCTCTACAACCCATCCCAGAGAAAAAACAAACGAAAAAACATCCAAACTATCGTAATAACAACCTACAGCAATCTATGAATTTACCTTAGTCTCTATTTGACACATCTTTACAATCACCTTTCAACGATCGGCCAGTTCATCAGTCATGACAAAGCCTTGAAATAGCCACAGGTTAATTAACAACTTCGGATATATCTTCCGTCACGTTTATCGTGTCAGCCATTTTGACGTATTGTACTTGATGTAAATGTATTACGACGCTCTGTCATTGTAATTGACTTACTGAGGTAATTCTGAAAAAGATCTTCTCATCTGATGAGGATATTGTTTGGAATATATTTCTTGTAAATATACTAAAACATGGGGGGGGGGGGGGGCATTTTATTCCGGGATGGCCTATTAAAGCTAGCAGTAAGTCAAGGCACCATGCGTGTATATGATCTGTTATTATATGTGTTTAGATTACGGTTTGGGGCGTTTATAAAATACACTGACTCAAGTATATTCTATTCAAATCAATTTGATAATTGAATATGCTTTCTTTATATTACATAACAGCACTGCTCAACATTTGAACAGTTGCAGTAACACACTACGGTAATCACATTAAACACCATTTTCAACTGTACAGTATTTCAATATTCCAGTTACATCACGATGTATCAGACTGATGTGGGATTAAAATCCGAATTGGTTCAGGCCATCCAACGAGTGTTCGGGAAAAGGTGAGCGTATCCTGCCACACAAGTGGCACCCGTCACAAACACATGCAAGGACAAGTCAATTGTTCACCTGAACAAAACACGGAAACACACAATGATGCCCGTCCTCACTTTTACCGAGCATGTAAATTATATTGTCCGTCAAAAACATGGACGAGTATAAACAATATGTTTATTCACGTAATACTCCGTAATACTCGAAGCATTATTGTTAATCACAACGTATAGTATCGGCATGCAGTTGAACTCATCACCCATCCCATTATTGATAATCCTTCTTGAAGATCTATGAAATCAGAAGCTGCAACACTTTATCTTTTAATTGGCATGTCAGATTTCTATTTCATAACTCAGATTTATTTGCACGGATCACTATGGAAGGGACATTGTCGCGTTGTCGCATTGGCGCATTGGCGCCCTTACA